AAAGGGGGACCAGGTGGTCGTGATGCAAATGCTTAGAATACATTTGTCTATGGTATAAGGTACAAGTAAGGAGGGGGTGAAAGGAAGAGGAACTACGAAACATGAAGTACACTCGGTACTATGAAACTGCCAAAATTCGGCCTAATAAAGCATGTCATCGTCCAACGAAGCTTTCTAGCATGGTACAATCATACAAACCTTGTGTGCCATATTCTGATGTGTTTTTATGGTGATATGGCGGAAACTTAACATTAGTGTATATGTACATATGTTGTACCGTGTCTCTATGCGATAAAGCCAAACATACGCACACTTACAAATAGATATATACATGTAGCCATGGAAATATAATTTCGATTAGATCCAACTCCCACAGCACTATAGGCTTACAAATCAGCGATATACACTGTGGATAAGCAAATAGGAAGCATTTTATTCAATATTTTGTTAGTCTCCAGATATCTGGTGAAAAGAGAACGTTTCTTTTTGTTCGTATCTCCCTAGAATAAACAATTATTTAGTGATATAACCTTTAAAGCTCTTTTCCTTGCAGGTAAGCGGAGTGTTCATTCACGCTCAGTATCCTTGGATACCATGCAGGATTCTGCTAGATCAATGCAGGTCGAATCCTTATTGCAGTAGAGCGGCCAGTTTCACTAACGAGCCCCTGTCACAAAATTGCATCAATATATTGATCCGCATAGTGTGAAGATTAGAATAATAAACAACTTCACGTTTAACAAGATGGTCGTTCTCCACTTGATACGTCATACATGTATGCATTTCAGCCCACTTACAACTTTGTGCTGACCGCTATGATTAGCTAATAAAGTTCAAATACATACCTCTATATAATTAGTACTTCGAAAACTGATATGGTGATGAGGTTTTGAAGTATGCTGTTACCTACACTGAACTGTACCGTGTTCATTCATGCATTGCTCTAAAAACAAAAATTATACAGGCTGCGCAAACAAAGCTTGATAGCACAAAGCGTAGGCACGCATATTTTTCGATTTCCATCATTGCGAGAGTTACCCAAAAACGAAACGGTGCTGTCATCAACCTACAAGTATCAGACGCTAGAGTTTTCATCGTCCGAGCTTGAATCTTGAGTCTATTTAGTCCCTTCTAAATGAGAAACTGTGACAAACCCACTCTAACACACCCCTTGCCCAAAAGGAGTCAAGTTTTACTTAGTTGCTGTCAGCCCACCGCGGCTTTACTCGACCCGGCTGGACGACCTTAGCGTCCCCGCTGTTGTAAGTGCCAGATCGAGAGAGAAGCCCCAGACTTCGGCTAGCTGAGAGCCTTGGCGCGACCATTGATACGGATTGTGGTGTTGGCCTGAGATTGTGGAAGGCCATTTTCGCTAACTGCTAGCGAACCCTGCAACTTTCCATCGTCCTTTTGTCGCAAATGATCTTTTTGTGTTGTGTCGCTGCCCAATTGGACCTTATCCTTGCCGCTCCTACTTTTGTTTTGCCTTTTCGTAAGCTTGTCCGGTTTCAATGCACGCGTCTCAGACGACGAAAATGGCGGGACTAACAAAAGCTGCCTTCTGCCTTAACTGCATGGGAGCCACAAACCACACGATGTGAGGCTTGCCAATGGGCTATCGCAAAGAATGAATGGAATGGTCGGAAATAAATGAAAAAAAAAGAATTGCGTTTGTGGGCACGTCAATCTTTAGTCTTATCTGGAAATACAATAGTCGGTTGACATCTTTTTGGGCATATTATTTTTTTTAGCGACGCGTTGCTGAATGCACCACTAATGAAGCGTTACACGAAGTCTGTGTATCTGTTATGAAGAGATGGGAGAGTCTCAAAAAGACCTCGGCGGATTGGGCTGTCGCTAATAATAATAAATGCTGGTTCAGCTGAGGCAATTTTCAACTCGAAAAAATTGCCTGGGTCGGTTGTGAAGTGTTCGGATGAAAACGTTATATTCTCGCGATGTCCCCATCGGGACACATGAGGCAGTGCAGGTACAAAACAGGACGTAGACACGCATTGTTCCATGTTAGTAAGAGTGAGCTGTCCGAAGTAATGCTTAATAGGGACAGCGTACTCGAAAAGGTCATGTATTTACTCTAATTTTGTGATATTGCTTTTCTGTATATAAAGTGTTTGACTATTACCAACGAAGGCGAATAAGTGAAGAATCGGACGTGAAACCCGGAACATTTTTAAATGAAACCATTTTGTAAGAATCACGAAAGATGTGTAAAAGCATGCTATTACGTCTAGTTGCCTAGGGTCCATGTTCGCGTGCTATACTCTATTTTATTTGCACCTTTTTCTCTATCCTATTTATATATATATATCTCAGCAGAGGAGATCACACACCGGAGCCTTGGTCAGTTTCGACAACGAGTACACACTATGCGCATTGCTTCATGACAATTTGGACCAGATCACAAATGGGCGAGCTCAATTATTCCACTGGGTTTATATCACACGTATGTACAGTCCGCCGGAAAGGGCACTTGAACAGGGGACTGCCTGGCGGGCACACGACTGGCTTCATCGGATCGAAAAGTTATAGATCACATTTACTGATTGATTGATTGCGTCATCGCATCACAATCATTCTGGTCATCGAACTGGGTCGAAGGACAAACCTCTCTTCTCTATGAGTTAAGCGAACCGACCTAATGGAAGCAAAGCAATATTGTTTTGGTCTTTGACTTGAAATAGCCATTTGCAAACAATGCCGACGTCCGAAAAGTGACGTCCGATAGATACATAAAAACCATGTGTATGTACAGGTCGCTTAGGCGCATCGTAATAGATAATTTGAAGCTAGCTAGGTTACGTTATCCCAGCTACAGTGAATAATTGTGTTGGAGGTTTTTTTTCTTTTTCAAAAACTTAATGAATCCAAAGTCATTCTAAATTCACATAAATCATAAATAAATTCACATACAAATTTTAAAGAAAATTCACATAGTTCTGTGGGGATCGTTTTAAAGCCATCTTAACAAATCCAAATTGCCTTTACAAATCGAAAGGCAGTTTGAAAAACAGGAGTGAATTATATATTTACTAAGTGACTGTGGTCGCTTCTGTGAAAGCTACCTTCTATCTCCTATTATATGAAACGGCAGCCTTGTTACACGGCTGCCGTTTCATATATCCACATTAACGTATTAACTCTCTAACTTGCGCGTCATAGTATTCGGATCTGAGGGATAAACCTAGCCTAACCTGGAAAAAAACCTGTGCACTAGCTAATTGCAGTGCCGCAACATAAGGCCATTGTTTCAGCTAAGGATCGTACATTAGATATACGGTTAAGAGTGAAGACTAAGACCCTTTTTGTCAACGAAAAGAATCCCATTTACTATGAATGATTTATATAAGGAATAGTTAGCATTATGGTTACGTGCGTAGACTGCAATAAAATAACGTACGAAAATCGAGCCTGATTTATGATGATTCGCACCTTACTCGCGACATTAGGTACAAAGAAGAACGAGAGTAACGGACATCTGCCTAAAACAGAATGCGAGCATATATGGCTTAGACGACAAAGTTTATATGCAGATATCTGTGTTTTTATCCGCCAAAAAGGATTAGCGCACGAAGGCTCCGTGCATCTCCTAGTGGTTGCGCTCCTTTGTTTTTTTATTTAGAAATGACAGAATTCCTTATCCATTCTACTATAAAAACGCATACGCTTATGAAATTATCCTATGGAAAAGCACTTTTGAAAACTGCAGTATGTATACCGTACGCATATGATGCTGATGAAACGTGTGTCGCTATTAGTAAGTTATCATTCATCCAATAAGAAATAACTCCACGCACAGCTGTATAGACAAGGCAATGGCTCTCGAACTGCTCCACCAGCACCACCCGCGATAGTTTTCATATTGGACTATATTTCAAAATCGAGTGGTAAGAATTGCTTGAGGAAAAAGGTTGGGCTAAAGAGGCGCCGCAATTATGGACACTGTGCGTCATAAACATAGCGTTGGTTTCTAGTGTTCGAATCGTACGTTACTTTCAACGAGGGACCGGGGACGCTGATGCCGCATCTGTCACGTACTCTCACTTAACGGAAAATAGTACTTACCAAATGCGATGCTTTCCATAAGAGGGACACTGGTTTGCGCTGCACACAAAAAACATGCATAAATACAAGTATAACGGAAGCGTCGTTGATGTACATGGTAACTGGAAAATAGGTATGGCTGAAGGACGGAATTTAGCGACAGTAGAAGCGAAAAAAAGTAAAGGAGAAATATTTGATACGGAAGAATAGCGACCTACATCGCCGATTCACTAAAAGTAATAGATTGCTCTCTCATTTTACCTGGCCTTGTACGATACCACTATCCAATAAATGAAAAGTTACGTTAATGTTTAGTAGTACGACGGAGGATATCGTGAGCGACCATTGCCTCTAAATCGGATGAAGAAATAATTGCCCGCTGTTTTCTTAACTGGGAAGAGGAAAACAATGGCATGATGAAATAGGCGCAATCGTTTGGCGGTAGCTAACAAACGAACGCTACCGTCAATTGTCCGTCGTATCGGATAATCGTGTATTTGAAAGTTAGGACATTTTTCTTCCCTTTTGCTTTTCCACCTCTATAGAGCCCGTAAATGAAGATAGTCGTACATACTGAGTAGCAAATGATACGAAACTATCGTACGCTCGATAAGCTGGAATATACTTGTTGTGCGCACTGGCCAGCTAGTGGCATCAAATGCTGCTTCATATTGTCAGCGGATACGATTATATAGGGTCATGTATGGTCGTGGCCCATTTGAACACACTGAATCAAACCTTACTTTATGTATGTAACAGGTTATGAAATCTCGATCGTGTACTTTTTTAACTTTTAGCTTATCCATGCTATTGTATCAACGAAATTGTATTTCAGTCAAGTCAATTCGCTTCGTCATGTTTTTGGCTATTAGAAACTTATCTATAATTGATCTACAGTAAATTGTAAGTAACAATACGTTTATTTGTTTGCCGCAGAACTTCCTATAGAATGTGTATATTATATTTCAGCGTATTCTGAGCACACTTTGCAATAACATTATAAGCACTATCAAGATAGCTGATTTGCCCTGACCGGATACAAAACACGAAGCATAGAGATTCCACCAGATGAAACTCCAATCTACCTTGTGGTACTTTTACTCGTAGTGACTTCGTTTGTAGTTTGTAGCAGACTGACCACTCGGTAAAACTAGATTCTGTCGGACTGAAGTCTCGGAATCCCCTCGTAATATAAGTCGATTGGCTTAAAGTGGATCCCTCAAAGTCTGCTACAAAAGCTCGAATTTACCTAGAAAAGATACGCTTAACGGTGTCAAGGGCTAGATGATCTACTATCGATGTATTGTATTCTGAGGTCGTTTAGATGATTTATTGCAGATGACACTTACCACGTAACGTAGATGATCAAATGATACTAGTATGCATCCGGACATAATTAACTATAATATCGAACGCAGTTACTTGTAGAAGTTCCTAGTAGTCGATATATTTGCTTTGTGACGCAGGCTTTATTACTAAAAATGACACAATCTAGTTAACTCACGATTTGACAGATAAGCGTGACGTGGGTGGCGTTGCCTATAACAACTCAATTGTATTTTTCGACCGTGTGTCTCGACAAAGCAGTAAACGATTTTGCCGTGGGTGTCTCCCGTAGCTAGGCCAAATCCCATAGACGCTGTTCTAGGACGCTGCCTAGGATCACGCATTTTTCTGTCACGTCGACAATAATCCTTTCTGCTCTTTGCGGACTCAGACACGCAAAGTGGCCACTATGGTTTTGTTGCCTTTAAAGTTAAGAACAAACACAGTCCGTCATAGCTACGTTCGCCGGGCTGTCATACAATACAAAGACCACTTATTGAGATGAAAGGGATTTGTGACTCCTGCTGTTGAACGTCTTGCTCACCGGACGGGACATGCTCGGCATTGTATCATATATTAGAAGATAATAATCTTGTCCCGTTTAGCGAAAACAATCCCGCTAATCGTTATTCAAAGGTAAAATTGTTACCTATTCGTTTTCCTACTAAATAAGCCCTTTTTTTTTTATAATAACAATTAGTTAGTGATTAATTCAGGCTAGAGCTGCCATTTATGTGAATGGCGCGCCATTTCTAAGCAATCAGTTCGGAGTACGAGTTGGCAGAATGACGTCTCCTAGTAGCATACAAGAAACTGGATTGAACAAACCACTACAACGTTTGCAGAGCTGTAGATAGCAGTTTCAGTGTTTTTAGTAAGAGTAGCTAACAACATCATGTCTCTGCACTTTCTTCGTTCAGACCTTAGATACCCATCGAACTTCATGGCCAGCGCACCCCATCAGCGTGATTCGTTGTTCTTGACAAGAAAAGCTTTGGAACTCGACTAACCTACTTATTCATATGTGGACCTACATGTCTGACAACGCATTCTGGTCCAGCATAGCAGCACAACGAGTACTTACCTTTGGGTTGAGGGCGGTTGTTTCAGTTTTCGTCTGAAAGGTCCCGCAAGACCTCCGCAGGAGCCATAAGGCAGATGCGCCTGAAAGAAGAGTCGGCTCCGACGTAGTGGCAGCAGTAATAGCAGCACGGAATAAACATCGGGTTTTTAATGTCCCAACCTAACGGATGACCGCGTCGTCAGCTGGTACCATGATCGCGGAAGGCGGCTGCCTACGAACAAACGCCAAATGATCTAGCAAATAGTAGAAGGTAGTTTTCATCTTACTCTTTATCACTCTTATTTCCAAAATGTCTTAGGTAAGAGAACGCGCCCAGGCAGGTAGTTCGACGGCCTTTCAATGGCCCCTATGTTTGGATGACTATGATGCAATAAACAAAGGTCTCGCGTTTCTGGCTTTAGCCTCTGTGAGAACGGAAACCGTAAGACGGAAACTTGAAAGACGTGCGTTTCAAAACCGCAAATACATAATATTCAATGTTGTTTATAATAGGTCAACTATTATAACAGCGCATAGAACGCAAACAAGGGCAACTCCCAACCGACGAAATCTATAGGTATTTATATACAGTCGACCCGAGCGAGTCAATGTTATCATATTACGATTTGTTTGACTCTTGCTCAGTAACTGCGTATAAATAATCCGGGCTCTTCGGTAGGAAAATGGGCTTATTCTAAAAGAAGCCCGGGTTCCAGAAGCTAGTATTGTATTAACCGGCCAGTACGAGATCCTTGATTTACCCACGGCCGCGCAATAGTTTACCTGATACGCAGATAAAATTTTTTATTAACGGTTTCACGGTGGCGTGTCTTTTCTTCCCCTGGACGCCCTGAACGCAAAACATGAACACTATCAAACGGATTTAGTTTCGCCTATAAGAGGCGAATCGAAAACAAAGCAAAAATGATTTCGGTGGTGGATGATTTTTTCACAGACCTGATAAATTTTCTGGTCGGCTTATCGAGGCTGAAAGATATGTCTCCATTTTATTTGGAACAAGTTTTTATCCAGTACCGCCAGTTTCGGATGAACGCCTTCACGAAACCGTGTGCAACCACACGGAGAAATCCCGAAATTAAACTGATTACTCTAGATACACATTGTAATTAAGGAACAAAAACGATTCAAGCATTTGGTGACTTACCTATACATTTGTGCGTATTTTTCGTTTTAGTCTCCTTCGTATACATTACAACAATATTAATCTATGGGGGGAAAAAATTTGTTGATCCGATGACACGGAGGATATGATACGCTGCGAAGAGTATAGGCCAACTTCAATAGCGTAACACAAACTCTAGCTGTTTCTGATGGGGCTGATTTCATTCAAGATAAGTTATTGTTTTAATCAGTGTCGCATGACGTAACTTATTCCATTAGAGTAAGTTGTTCTGGAAGGCAAAACGTTTGAGCCGATAGTACAACGAGGGCCTACTGGAAAGATGAGGAAGATATCAGGGGCTAATATAATTGTGTGCGTCTTATAGTAGTAAATTTTTAGATGCACAGTAGACACCTGAATTGTTACTGTGGCTCATTGTTTGGAGTCAAGAGCTAACCTGAAAACGTTTGATGACTTAAATTTACTACAATATTTGAGTAAATTTATTATTTTGAAAAAATTACTAAGGTAGCTGAGCCTAATGCTCGGTTACTCCAAATTTGTACCTCAAACATAGTGTAGACGATTATGCATGTTATAATACAACTAAATGGGTATAACTCTCTTTGAATAATCATACGCCAACACGAATTCACAGGTGTACAGAAACGAGAGTGTTTTCAATATATCGGATATTATGATTTATAAGGGTTTTTTTTTTTTTTTTTATAGTTTATAAGAAGTTTTCTATGATATTGTTGGTATACAGGCGGCTAGAACGACACTGAACATCTCTCATTATAGGTGTCTGTACGTGTAAGTAGCATCACTAACGAAACACAGTACAGCCTCAATGTTGAAAGTTCAACGAAGACAAAGTCAGCTCTCAGTAACTTGGTACTGGGCTAAATCGTACATTTAGGCTCTATTCCTGTGTAGGTTACGTACGACATGATCGTTTGCTATAGTGCATGCATGCGTATATAGATATAGTTCGTCATAGCACCCTTGATATATCTTGATACATGTTAGAAGAGTTGCGAAAAGGCGATCCAACCATGATCGACAAAAACATGCTGAGAAGGCGCTGGTTCGAGCTACGCCAATAATGTGTGCTGTATGAATGTCCTGCCTAACTAGGGCCGTCGGCATCCCCTACCATCTCTCAATGGAATTCTCTAGACACTCAATTTTACGAATAAAAATTGATATACAGAATGAGCTCAGCGTAAGTATTACGTAAAACTGGCTAGAAACACTGTCATTATCCTGTTCATACAGTATGACCATTAACTTATGCAGCCCTGGTGTATCGCTGCGGCCGATACGGGTCTCCTCGTGCATCGCTGACGGTAAAGACCGACGCCGACTTCAAGCGCGCCCGAAGGTATGCTTACCACGACGGCCCTATGCTTCAGCCGATGGTAAACTAATAACATGCTTGGCAGCAGGGTTATTCTTATTCTTATCTGGTCATATTTTCCCGCTTTGGTCAAGGCCGGACAAATTAATCTTATTAACGCTAAGCGCTCGCAGTTTTTGGCGTATTGGCTTCAGAAAGTAACGATAATAACAGGCTGTAAAGCAAAATGTTATTCGCTTTAGAAACAGCTGTGTCATTGGATAGCATTAACTCGTTCAATTTTATATGAGTTTCCATCTTTTTTTTTTTTGTTTTTTTTTATTTCTTACTATGCATAGATATTAAAAAGAGCGCTTCACATGCTAGAAGTACAGGGTCACTCTGATTAGCGATCCGATTATTAATAAGTAGATTAGTATTTTCATATAATCAGATCTCATGTTTACATTTATAGGAAATAATGGTACCGAAGGGGCTTGGTGATAGTAGTAGTTGCTGGCCATTTTACTTAGCACGTACCTGCCACAGGTAAGATAGACTACGCGTCGCAGTTCAAGTAATAGCTATACGGTCGGCTGCTTATATTTGCGGCCATTCGAAAAAGCTATAAATCATAATAGACGGGCTTTTCAACGGGACGAGGAGCGAGACGAACAGAGCAAGCGAGAAACTGAGCGAGGGAAGATCGGTATCTGCTCGGCTGCAAGTCTTTGGGCTCTCGAAAGCCTCGTGTGATTTTTGAAAATGATCATCTGCCAGACACAACTGAGGCACGGGCTGTAGTTGAATCTAAATAAGGAACATGAACATAAAACACTAGGGGATATCTGGCAACACGCAACTATAATTTCAACGAACACATGGAGAAGTCTGTTTTCTGCGAAGAATATCTCAATCTGGACCTTTCCATCGAGACAAATCTGTGTCAGATTGCAGTTTACTGCGTTTTTATGAGCACCGATCTGAAAATCTTCACGCAACAAAACACGCGTCCAGATATGCAAGACGTAAGGTTCATATGCTGGCATACTTTTCGCGAGTGTGTCTAGAGAATCTCCTTTATTGCCAAGCAGACGTCAGCCTTTCGCACACTATCTGAAATTAGATAAAATGAGTTATGCTGAAATTCATTCTTTTTCTATCGCTTTCATTGGGATCAGAAGGAAGCGATCGCTCTCCAGCATCACATGGCTCTCCGAGAGCGCTGCATCATGTGCCAACTTTTGGTGCACACAGAAATATGTATTTGTTTACCGGTGTTGAATCAGTACACAGCAATGAAAGACGAAAGCTGTAATACGTAAGGTCAATATTGCACACAGCACACTGGCAAGGTGCCTACAGAGCTAAGCTATCATTCTCGCACACGATTTTATCAGCTTCGTAAGTATTTGACGCCTATACGTTTATTACGTTTCAACTTTAGAGGGACTACGGCGATACGCATGATGCCATATCACGCCGAGGCTAAAAGGTCCTTAGCATTACATTGTATATTCGTATCTGTGAGATGTACTTGAATAGCAATATACCATACGACAGAATAGCAACAATTGATGCTGAGCGATCAAAGTTGCTGATTTCTACTGTAGTCTTACTACCATCTTGATACATAAGCGGCGGGTATTTCGTGCGATACTGAATTGTCTTTGAACTTTGAGAACACATACGTATGCCCAAGCTCTTTGGTGCATTGTAGTTTGTTGCTAGCCTTTCATACCTGTGGACGCATCACGCATAAATACAAGCGGGTCAGCCAGTTTTTTCCGGTCACAGCCGCTTGACGATACACGTTATACTATTCTGTCGACAACGGTAGCGTGAGTTCATCTATCTTCCTCTGCTGGTAGACGCGTAACGCGAAGGCGATCTGTATGCAGAGGAGGTACCGAAAGACGCTAACAAACAATAACATATTTTTGCTCACTCATACGTTAACACTCACAGACCTATTTGACATCCAGAACGAGTCAAAGGATCAGGTACCGTTGCATCTTTAAACTGGCTTTCTACTCTCCGGCAATAGAATAACAGTCTCTAGCTTTATGGCCTTATGTAAATGGACCTGTAAACGGAATGGGGTCGAAGGCTGGAATTACGATAGCCGCTAGCGATTTGCAGATCGGTTTCGCAACCGTATCAGGAGCGGTACAAAGCGGAGATACAGAGCGAATGACACTTTGTAAACCGTTCATGTCAATTATTTAACCATCAGCGTTAGAGTATTTACAATCAATGCGCTGCCTGACGAGGATATCATAGAAGACAGCTAGACGTGTCGTAAACAGCGTGTGACGTGGCTCTCGTTTCAAGTTTATTTTTTGCTTTGCTGAGCAGCGCTCGCTACAGAGCAGCCATTGCTTCTGTCATCAACGCTGGTTCTAGTAAGCCCGGTACGTGTTTGCTAGCGTCACGGCAACAATACCCTAATTTGATACTTCGTGAAAATATATGCACAGACGTGGGCGCCCTCGACTGCGTGTGTCGTCTTATCTGTCCTTCGCATAATCGGAGGAAATTGCTCTTTGTTAAGTTATGGTAATGATAGAAATGGGTCATACCATATGGGCTGGAGATTACGTAGCGATAAAGTTGTGGGCTTAACTCTAGGTTACTACGACAGTTATTGCTCTATATATTCACGCTGGGATAATAGAGATGATTTATTTTACCTCCTAAAAGAATTATACAGAAATTGGAATAAAAACTATTAACGAAAGATTGTCAAACAGTCCGCTCAAAACTTTTGCTCCGGTTTCATGCACTTCTTTCTCTCTCTCTCTCGATATATAGATGTGTGTGTGTGTTTATAATGTTTCCTTAAA